TACAGTTTTATTTATACATTTATTTATACATTTATTTATACATTTAAACACTTCTGCTTTCAGCGCTTCACTTCTTCCAGAACTTCTTGTAGGTGTCTAGGTCGATGCCCTCGAAGGTTTCTTCCTCCTTGGCCTTAGGCTTGCTGGGGAATTGCCGGCGCAGACGAGCCTTGCGCTCGGCTTCGGGCAGCGTGTTGCTGTCCAGGGGCATCTGGGGACACGGGGGACACGGGATGAGACCGCGGGGACACAGTGTGACACCCCAAGGACACAGCATGACACCCCTAGGACATGGTGTGAAATCCCTGGGACATGGTGTGACACCCCCAGGACACAGGGTGAGTTCCTAGGGACAAGTTGTGAAGTCTTGGGACAAGGCATGAGACACCTGGGGACACAGTGTGACACCCTCAGGACACAGGATGAGATCCCAGGAACATGGTGTGAGATTCCCCAGGGACATGGTGCGAGCTCCCAGGACATGGGGGCATGGTGTCATGGAGCTTTGGGACAAGGCATGACACCCCTGGGACATGGTGTGACACCCCCAGGACACAGGATGAGATCCCAGGGACACAGTGTGAGCTTCCAGGACATGGTGTGGAGCTTTGGGACAAGGCATGAGACTCGTGGGACATGGTGTGACATCCCTGGGACGTGGTGTGACACCCCCAGGACACAGGGTGAGCTCCCAGGACATGGTGTGAAGCCCTGAGACCTGGCATGAGACCCCTGGGACATGGTGTGACATTCCCCAGGGACAGGCATGAGTTCTTAGGACATGGGGTGAGATCCCAGGACATGGTGTGAAGACTTGGGACAAGGCATAAGACCTCTGGGACATGGTGTGAGATTCTCCTGGGACACGGTGTGACATCCCCAGCACACAGGGTGCAACCCCATGGACACGCTGTGACTTCCCAGGCCCCAGGACAGGCTGTGAACCCCCTGAACCACACCCTGAGCCCCCTGGGGACACACCACAAGCCCTTGTGGCCCCCCTGCTCCCAGCCTGTCACTGTCCCCGTACCATGAGGATCCTCTTGGGCTCTCCGTAGCGCAGGCGCACGGTGGAGCCGTCGGTGCTGACGAGCAGCATTGGGTACAGGCNCAATAAGGTGATTCTGGGGGTGAAAAGGGGATTTTGGAAAGCCAGGAGGTGCCAATGACACATCCTGATGCCAGCCTCTACCTCTTATCCCGATCTGGGGAAGAATCAGAGGATGATGGTGCAGCATCCTTCTTGGAATGCTTCTCCTTGTCCTTCTTCTTTTCCTTCTTGTGTTTCTTCTTTTTCTTGTTCTTTTTGTCCTTCTTCTTCTCCTTTTTGGATTTTTTGCTGCTCTCAGGTCTGCAGGATGGATCAAGCAATGAGAATCCCTGCACTGTGCATCCCTCTGGCTCCAAAAGCTCATCCCCCATCCCTTTTTCCAGGCACATCCCACCACATCCCTGCTTTGCCAAAGAGAAGCCCACAGAGGCTTTTGGGGATGATTCAGAGAGATGCAAAACAAGCCCAGTGCCAAAGAGAGCCATGGAAACATTTTGTAAAATATTTCCCATAAAAGCCAGGAATTTCTGGTGTTTCCCACCAGAGTGGGAAAAATCCTCACCGTTTCTCCTCCACCTTCTCCTCCTTTTCCTGCTTCTTCTTGGAGACAGATGTGTCTGGGCTGCTGGAGACTCTCTGGTGCTGGGGTTGGAGAGGGGGAAAAATACAGAGTGAATCCATGAGCCCACAGCTTGTAATTACAAGACAAAAGGTTTTTATCCCTTTAAAAATTAAACTTAGAAAAAAATGTAAATTAAATTCAGGGAAAAATTAGAATAACCTTAACAGCTGCTTCCAAATTACAGCCCCACAAATGATCTCTGTGCCAACAGGACACAGGAAACTCCTGCAGGTCTGTGCTACAATACCCAGATGGTTTTTAGATGAAATATTCCAGGTGAGGGGCACTGCTTTTTGCCTTTTCCCATCCATTTTTGACCCTTCCAAGGACAGCGTGACCGGCACCGTACCGTGAAGACCGAGAGCCCCATCTTGGCTGCCTCTCTGTCCTCCTTGGACAGCATCACCCTGCCAGCACTGCCACTGCAGAGAGACCACAGAAAAAGGCATAAAAACACTGAAATCAAACAAAATGTTCAGAAATTGGTGGGGGATCCTTCCCTGTCCTCACCTGGAGCTGCCCAACCCCACCACCCGATCCACGTCCTTCTCGTCCCGCTCGCTGCCGTCCCTCTTGCACACCTCAGCCAGGTCCTGTGGGGAGAGGGGACAGTGTCCTGTGTGTGTCCCCAAAACCAGAGCCAGGGGACACTGAGGGGGTGTGTGGTGTTACCTCTTTGCTGAGGCCTGTGGGCTGCCTCTTCAAGCTCTTGTAGCCCCTGTAAGAACAAGAATAGGTGATTTGTGTGTGGGGACACGCACCTGCTGGTTTTGGGGTTTCTGTGGGGTGGGCACTCACAGTGCTGCCATCATGGCCTCCTGCTCGGCCAGGCGGACTGCAGCCAGCTCCTCCTCCCGGGATAACGGGGGCCCCGTGTCCTTCTTGCCCTTGGCATACCAGGTCAGGTCCTTGCCCTTCTGCCACCGCCCCACCGGCGCCATCAGGGAGTTCCCTGTGGGGAACAGCGACCCCCCCTCAACATCACAACGCCCCAAAACCACACAGGGGACAGGGAGGGTGGGACTGGAGCAGAATCAGCCCTTACCCAGGTAATTCTCACGCTGTTTGTCTGTCTTGACATCCTCCCAGCTGAACTGGTCCTGGCCCCCCCGGACCCCGCCCCGGGAGGAGCCGAACATGGTGGGGCCGCACCCTGCAGGGGATTCGGGGCGTTCTGGAGACCTGCAACGAGATCAGCGCCGGGGTTACCCACTGCAGATCTTCCAGCACCTCCTGAAGGCACAGGGAAGCAAATTTGGCTCCCCGGGAGTGAGTGGAGTAACCAAAGGCTTTTGTGGGGGTGTTAGAGGGGGATTTATAACCCGGAGGTGGGAGGGGGTGCACAGCTTAGGGAGGGTCCCAGCCTGGGGGGAGGTTGCTGGGCGAGGAGGGGGGCTTAGGGCAGCCCCAAGGGGGTTCATGGACTTGGGGGTTCAGAGTCTGGGGGAGGTTCAGGGCCTCAAGGAGGGATTAGGGCCAGCAGCGGGGCAGCCACAGCTTGGGGGTTTCAGGCTCTGGGAAGGGGCTGCAGAGCAAGGAGGGTTCACAGCCTGTGGGGGAGAGTTCAGGACGAGAAGTGGGAAAGCTCTGGGTCTGCGAGGAGGTTGCAGGGTTGATGGAGGGGTTAAAAGCCCGCATGGGGGTTCTGGGCTCCCAGGGGGAGGGTTCATAGAGGGTCTAGGAGGGGTTCACAGCGTGGATGGGATGAGCTGGAAAAAGGGATCATGGCCTGAGGACGGGCTGGGCGGGGAGGTTGCACTGCCCGAGAAGAGGCTGCACGGCCCGGGGTGGGACATTACCTGGGGGAGACTTTCAGGGTCTGGGAAGGG